ACTACCAGCAAAGTCAGCATCTGTGTATCCAATTAAATCAAAATGATCTTGTTTGGCATACCAGAGGCCCACATCTAAAGTACCTTTAAGATACCGGAATATACGCTTAACTGCTGTTAGATGACTTTGCTTAGGTTGAGACTGGAAACGAGCACATAAACAGACATCAAACTGAATATTTGGACGACTGGCTGTAAGGTACAGCAATGATCCGATCATGCCACGGTACAAGGATTCATCGACTGGTAATCCAGTCTCATCTTTGTCCAACTTAACATTTGTCGCCATAGGAGTAGGACTGGTGTTAACAGCACTCATTTCGAACTTGCTAAGCATATTAGACACATATTTGGATTGATGAATGAACGTACCAGAGGATGTTTGCTTAATTTGCAAACCAAGAAAGAACTTCAGTTCACCCATTAAACTCATCTCAAAAACGTTTTGCATAGAATTAAAAAATGATGAGCAGAGACTAGTATTAGTAGACCCGAACACAATGTCATCGACATAAATTTGAACAATAAGAAAGTCTGATGACACATGCTTTATAAAAAGAGTCTTGTCAACTGATCCTTGAACAAAACCCTGATCACGAAGAAAAGCAGTAAGACGATCATACCAAGCTCGAGGAGCTTGTTTGAGCCCATATAGAGCTTTATTAAGCTTAAATACGTGATCAGGATATTTTGGATCGACAAAACCAGGAGGTTGAGCAACATAAACATCTTCCTCTATGACACCGTTTAAAAAGGCGCTCTTAACATCCATTTGAAAAAAGAGGAAAACCCATGTAAGCAGCATAAGCACATAAAAGTCTAACTGACTCGAGACGTGCCACAGGGGCAAACGTTTCGTCATAGTCAATCCCTTCTTCTTGGGAATAACCCTGTGCAACTAACCTAGCCTTATTACGAATAATAATGCCTACCTCATCAGTTTTATTCCTAAACACCCATTTAGTGCCAATAACAGTGATGTTTAAAGGCCTAGGGACCAAGTCCCAGACATGCAAATACTCAAACTGAGTAAGTTCCTCAACCATAGCTAATGACCAAGCATCATCTTCCAAAGCAATTTTATAAGATTTAGGTTCAACTTGTGAGACATAAGCGTATTGACCAGGTATATACTTACCTCGAGTCTTGAGACCATCATTAATATTACCTATAACTTGATCAACAGGATGGCGCTTCTGAATATGCAGAGGAGCTGAAGAAACGATCGGTGAGAAGTCTGTTCTAGCAGAATCATCCTGCAAAGAAGTAGATGACGTGGCAGAGGTGTTTTTCATATTCTCTGGCGGCTCCTGATCTGAAGACTCATTAAAGCTAGGAGATAACTCAGACAGATCAAACGTTAAAGGACAAGTCGATATATCTTCAGGAGAAACTTCATTAAACCGAACATTTACAGATTCTTCCACTTTGTAAGTACGAGTGTTATAGACTCGAAATGCTTGTCCTTTGACAGAATAACCAAGAAAAATACCTTTGTCAGATTTAGAATCAAATTTCCCTAACTGATCTCGAGTATTTAAGATATAACAAGGACATCCAAAAGGATGAAAATACGAGATAGAGGGAGACTTGTTCTTAAAGAGCTCATAAGGAGTCTTATTCAAGGTTTTACGAACCAGAACTCTATTTATCACATAGCAAGCTGTACTCACAGCTTCAGCCCAAAAGTACTTAGGCAAATTGTATTCTAATAGCAAAGTGCGGTCACATTCGATCAACGTTCTGTTCTTGCGCTCAACTACTCCATTTTGTTGAGGAGTCCGAGGAGCTGAAAAGATATGAGAGATCCCAGAATCATTGCAGAAGGTTTCAAACTCTTCTACAATAAACTCACCCCCATTATCACTCTTAACAGACTTGATTTGACCAGAATGTAATAAGGCAAAAGATTTAAATTTAGCAAAAGTTTCAGCTTTGTGTGCAAGAAAGAATACCCAAGTATACCTAGTATAGTCATCGAAAATAACAAAAACGTAGTTTTTCCCACCAAGACTAGTGACATTACATGGACCAAATAGGTCCATATGTAGCAGCTCAAATACTGCTGTTGTGGTAATGTCTGGTTTGGTTTTGAAAGACTTACGAGTTTGTTTGCCAGAAACACAGGTTTCACAAAAGAAATTGGCCTTTTCTTTAAGCAAAGGAAGACCACGCACTAAGTTTAATTTTGACAGCAATGCTAATTTGGACAAACTAATATGCCCAAGCTTCCTGTGCCAAAGTAACTCTTGTTGAAAGGAGGCAACAAAACAGTACTCATTGAAAGCATTCAGATCATGAAGATTAATGATGTACATGTTGTTTTTCCTAGAACCAACAAAAATAATTGCACCATCACTAATTCGTTCAACTAGACAGCGAGATGTTTCAAAAATGACTCTATTACCATTGCTACACAACTGACTTATAGAGAGAAGATTATGCTTAAGACCATCTACCAGAAGAACATCACGAATCATTGGCAAAGGTAGTTTACCTATGGTTCCTTTTCCAACAATTCTGCCGGAACTATCATCACCAAAAACCACTTTGCCTCCTCTTTGAAATTGAAGAGTAGAGAAAATGTCTTGCTTACCAGTCATATGATGCGAACAACCGCTATCAAGATAACAAAGATGATTACTTTGATCAAGATTACCTTGACTACTGGGAGAAGAAGATAATAACACCTGTTCACTGTCTGATTCGGGAACAAAAGCCATCAGGGCTTCTTCATCCACCTGATCAGCCTCATCCTCTGAATCATAATCGCTCCAGGATGCTTTCATAGCACGTTCCTTGGCCTTGATTGTCAGTGGACAATTTGCTCGAATGTGGCCTTTTTTTCCACATTTGTAACATGCTTGTGCTTCACGTTCACCTGTTCCTGTATCTACAACTCTGGTCTGCGTATTAGGTAGCCTATCATGGGAAGAAACTTTGAAACGATCATTAGATAAAAACTTAGAATCATCACCACGCCGCTTTTGATCATTTTTATATTTTAACATCCGATGAAAGCGTTTGCTGACCAAAGCAAACTCTTTATCAAAATCCCTCCCCAACTCAGTGTCTGAATCATAGTCGACAGTCCTAGATTGAAAAGCTAGGGTTTTCTTACGTTTATCATCATCCATAGAAACCTGCTTAATAACATTTTCATGACTCAACAAAGAACCTATCAGTTCATTTATAGGTAAAGTAGTTAGGTTTCGGGCTTCCTCTATAGCAGTGCGTTTAGGCAGCCACTCCCTAGGAAGAGATCGAAGAATTTTTCGATTTAGATCCTTAAGAAGAAAAGTACGACCCAACCCTTTAAGTTTATTGATAAGAACAGTGAATCTCGAGTACATTTCATGTATTGATTCATTTCCCAGCATAGTAAATGCCTCATATTCATGGACGAGTAAATCGATTCTAGATTCACGAATATTGGATGTACCTTCATATGTACTCTGAAGGGCAAGCCAAATCTCTTGAGCTGTCTCGCAGTTTTCAACTTGATCGGCTTCATCAGAGTTTATCGCCGACTGGAGAACATGCATCGCGCGCTGATTAAGTTGCGCACTCTTTTTCTGCGCGGCAGACCAAAGATGCTGCTCGGCGAGATTCATGTCGATGGGGCCATCTTGAACGATCAGCCATAACTCCTCATCGATACCCCACATGAATTGCTTAATCCGCTTCTTCCATGCTGTATAATTCGCGCCCGTGAAAATTGGCGGATGATTGAGCGTTGCTTGACCAAAAGAACTGGACGCCATCGGATCGGAACCTTGGCAGTAGCAAACTTCTTCAAGGCACCGCTCTGATACCACTTATTAACCAAAAATGGCGTCTGCAAAAACTAGGGATTTAGAAATGTGGAAGGAAGGAATTGGGAAAGATCGGGACGAAAGGAAAGCAAAGACAAGATTTTGTCTTTTCTAATATTTGAGTCTCGTCTTTATGAATTGGGCTAAAACCCGAAAAGCCCACACAGAGTGAAGTTAAAATAAACAATCATAACACTGAAAAAGCCCACATAAGTGTTCGGTCCACACACAGCCTGCCTTAGATGATCATCTTCTTCCTCAGAAGATTGACGAGAAGGACAGAGTGCAAAGATCAAAACACGGGAAGCATAAAAACAGAGCAGAAATAAAATGCACAAGAACACACACCAATTTTAACGAGGTTCCCCAAACTACTGGGTCAGTCCTCGTCCTAGATTCAGTACTTCACTGAACCTAGGAGACTCTGTTTTTATTGATTTTTCCTATCAAGCAAGAGAAGAAAGAAAGTGCAGACTCAAGGACACAAAACTGAAGAACAAACTCCCCGGATCCCAATCCCAGACCCGTTACACCGTTAATCCGACAGATCCTATACCTCTGTCCTGATTAACCCACTCAAGCAAATAGCCCTATACCGCTTTTTACAAGAAGTACTTTCCCAAGCAGCTGGAAGAGGATATATATAGCGATCAACCCAGATGACCGTTGCCTTTGAAAAGGTGTAGAAAGGTAAGCTCAGGATTCTTCTTTGATTTCGCCAATTACGCCAATTGCTCCAAGATTTCCAACTTTCCATCTTTCAACAGGTATGAGGTTGTAAGGTTGACAGTGGATGACATAAAAACACGATTTTTCATTAATTAATTAAAAGCAAAATCCGTCAAAAATCGTGTTACTGTTCCTTAAGTAAAAATTGGAGGTTACTGTTTACAATTGGATTGGGAGAATACCCTCCAGGCGGATTTACCTGAGCCTGAGTTCCCTTCTTTCGGGTGGCTAATTAGTAATAATGACCATTAGAACCATTATTAGTTCCCTCGCAAGTCCGAATTCACGTATAATCATGCGTACCTGACTTGCTCATTTCTTCTCTTTTTGTGTTTTTTGCGACCCCTCATCGCCTTTCTCCTCTTTCCGTTCAACCCCTCTAGACTTCAATCCAATCGTGAAGAATATATTGCAGATAATCTCCTTGCTAATCCTCCAATAACTGAAATCTCTTCCTGATGGGATTATAACAACCCTACATGACCTAATTGGATTCCAAATTATATCTCTACATGGACCATGGGTCAATAGACAAATTAGGAGGTTTAAAGAGAGTTTAGGAGCATTCAAGATGGGTGAAAATGGGTCTACAAACAAGACTTACCGGTTAATGGAGAATTGAGGATTTCTTACAACTATCCTTGTCTAACAAGGATTTGGAGGAGATGCTTAATTGTTGTCCATGTTGGTTTAAGAGTCTTTTATTATGTTAGCTTTATTTTATTTATTAAGTATGAATGTTATTTGTTTCCTAGTAGTAGAGTTATTACTTTTCAGTTTCCTAGGTGTAGAAGGAAGTCTTTCTGTTGGGTTAGCCTCTCTATAAATAGAAGGCTTGTAGTTCAGTTTTATTCAATTCAGTATTCAGATTTCAATAAGAGTTTTCAAGAGTTGCAAGAAATATTTCCTTGTGATTTCTTAGGCTTATCAACCCCTGTTTGTGGCGCCTTGCCCCGAACCTTATCACCGACTGGTGTGGCGGTTCTTCATCCATCTAACCTACCAAAAACCCAAAATTTCCCAATTCCTTTCAATTTCCAGCAACCCTAGCTATTTTATTGTCAATTAGAGCAGTTTAGGCACATCAGTTTGGTATCAGAGTTCCGGTTTTTGTTAGATTTTAGTTGATTTTCGTCAAAAAAAACTAAAAAAACTTTTTTTTTTGTTAGAGTAAGATTGCCCTTAAGAGAAGGAAGGATGAGTGTAGAAATAAAGTCGAGCCAACCTTGCAATCTCTTCAAGAATCTCTGCTTCAGCTTACTACAACTGTTCAACAGTTGGTGCAAAACCAACAACCTGATAGAGGCAGGAGTCAACCTAGGAGGGTTGTTCGAGGTGCTCGCATTAACAACGAAGACGAAGAAGGAGACCGAAGGAGAGCTACTCAAGGAGATATCAAGATTAAAATATCTCCATTTTCCGGAAAGAGTGATCCTGAAGAATTTTTGGATTGGGTGGACAAAGTTGATTATGCTTTTGAGTGTCAAGACTATCACGAATTCATCAAGGTTCGTTTCGTTGCAGCTAAACTGTCTGGCTATGCTAGTTTATGGTGGCGGAAAACTAAAGCTCAAACAAGGCACCCTATAGAGGATTGGAAAACAATGAAGACGTTGATGAATGATAGATTTGTGCCAACCTATTACAAGCAAGATCCATATTGCAAATTTCAGAATGAAGAGCAAGAGATTGAGAAGGCAAGATTCATTTATATTGATCAGACTGATGCTTCTTCAAGCTCAATTCGTGGCGAGACTGACAAAAGGAGTGTCAAAGTCGACAAACATATACCTTCGAATGAAGCTTCTTTGCCTTTTTCTCAACCAGAATTCGAAGAAAAGGTTCTTGATGTTGAACTTGCTACTTGTGGAGAGGATGCTCAAGCTTTAATGCCTTTAAAAGAAGAACCAGAACTTGAGATAGAAGGGAAGCCGTTGCCTATCACCAACATGATAATGGCTTTTGACAGGGTAAGTTTAATGGATGTTCCAAAAGAGTTGCCACTTATTCAAGATTCTACAAATCATGTTGACTCGACCACCGAAGATGGGATTCTACCCAAGCCTGTGTATTACAATGAAGATATAGAGATAAAGGAAAATGTGCTCCGAGTTCACGAAAAAGAAGTTGGGAAAAGAGAAGTGCATTTCAGCTGCTCTAATGAAGAGGAAAAGAATGACTTGTTGGGTTGCGCTATATTCTTGCCAAGAGGAGTCCAAGACAAGTCATCAACTATTGGAGTAGATTTGGTCATTAAAGATGGGCGATTATGCTACGATTTCAACTCAACTCAAATGGGTGATTATGATGTGATTAATGAACACATGGAGTTTGTTATTGGAGATGAAGTGTCGTACAAGGAAATTCATAGTAGGGAAAGACGAAGACTTCAAGAGTTTGTGGTTAAACTTAATATTCAAGGAGTACACTCATGTTGGGAAATGATCGAGTCATGGGAACACATTCCTATGTCACAAGAAGATTTGAGGGCAAATCTTTTCCAAGAGGGAGAGAATGACGGGATTATACCAACCCTACATGACCTAATTCGATTCCAAATTATATCTCAACATGGACGATGGGTCAATAGACAAATTAGGAGGTTTAAAGAGAGTTTAGGAGCATTCAAGATGGGTGAAAATGGGTCTACAAACAAGACCTACGGGTTAATGGAGAATTGAGGATTTCTTACAACTATCCTTGTTCAACAAGGATTTGGAGGAGATGCTTAATTGTTGTCCATGTTGGTTTAAGAGTCTTTTATTATGTTAGCTTTATTTTATTTCTTAAGTATGAGTGTTATTTGTTTCCTAGTAGTAGAGTTATTACTTTTCAGTTTCCTAGGTGTAGAAGGAAGTCTTTCTGTTGGGTTAGCCTCTCTATAAATAGAAGGCTTGTAGTTCAGTTTTATTCAATTCAGTATTCAGATTTCAATAAGAGTTTTCAAGAGTTGCAAGAAATATTTCCTTGTGATTTCTTAGGCTTATCAACCCCTGGTTGTGGCGCCTTGCCCCGAACCTTATCATCGACTGGTGTGGCGTTTCTTCCTCCATCTAACCTACCAAAAACCCTAAATTTCCCAATTCCTTTCAATTTCCAGCAACCCTGGCTATTTTATTGTCAATTAGAGCAGTTTAGGCACATCACTTCCTCTCATTTCTCCTATGCTCATATAAAAAGCATAGAAATCAATTGTTGAAGAACACCGGCATGAAACGGCAAGTGGCAACGCCGCCGGACAACATGCCCTACCCATCTTCAAATCTTTATCGCTTTCTTCGTATGAGATATATCGCTCAATATCCAAGACTTCGTTCGTAGTTCAATTCCCCATTTAAAATTCCCAATGGCAATTGATGGAGGTAGTAGTTCTACGTTGTCGATTGAGCGCTCAAGAATTAGAAGTTCTACGTTGATGGTGGTAGTAGATTACTTTTTTTGGGTGAAATGTCACTTTTACCCTTTGTTTTTAATATAAAAAAGCAACACACATAAAAAGGTAGGGACATATTTGGAAGAAGAAGAAGAAAACACAACAATCTCCATCAAACAATCTCAACGAAAACTTGAGATTTAACTATCACTCATTTTGAGTGATAGTTTGTGTCAAATCAAGCAAACAATGCATGTATTGTTTGCACAGAAAATAAAATAAAAACGTTGTATTGTGGACATTACATGCATTGTAACTATCCCAACCAAACTATCAGCAAAACCAAACGACCCCAAAATCGTACTTTTCCGTTTCCCTTATGAAATGTATATCGGTCTCACCATAATCTTAAAAAACAACTATGTAGTTTCAATGTCTAATTTTGTTAGTTTAAACTATATAAAAAGAGTTAGTTTACATTATAACATATACATTAATCGTGGTAGGTTTGATTCATGATCTACCTCTCTTTGAACTCTCACAACGATGAAATTCACTATACATGTACAATATGAACCACAAATCATAAATTTTTTTAGGATAAAAGACTTTCATAATGTCTAATTGATCAACTACTTTGCAAAACTACTAGGTTCGACTATGAAGTGTTGGCTAATAGCAACCGGTTCATTTAGTCACCAGTCACCCATTGCGAAGCGCGCACCAAATAGCTAGTAAAAATAGTTAAAGGTCAAGTCGTCAAGGAAGCCGGGCACGTCGGAACAGAACGAACAAGGAAGTTGACGACTATCCTTGGTCATCTGCTTGTAGGAACAACCTCAAGCAGGAAAATTACAAAATTTGGATCGATCGATTACCCAATACCACCACGAGATATTACCAAGAAGCAACAAGAATGCTAGACTTCAAGTTCCTTCATGCCTCTGATACTTACAAGGCGACACCAACAAGATGAACAATCAACAACCTCACGCAGGAAAATTACAAAATTTGGATTGATCGATTACCCAATACCACCACGAGATATTACCAAGAAGCAACAAGAATGCTAGACTTCAAGTTCCTTCATGCCTCTGATACTTACAAGGCGATACCAACAAGATGAACAATCGACAACCCCTAACGACAAGAGGATTAAGCATACATATCCTCAAGTCGACAGTTTGAGAGCCGAAAAATATCGAAAACCGAGGAGTTACTTTTTAAGTATTTCCCACAATTAAATGAATCCTGGCTGGCAGAGCCAGCAGATCGGTTGGATTATGGATCTTGATACATTGCAATGATCATGAGAACAAAATGAGCCCAAAAATGGGCTCCTGGGTGTAACTCTGTATAAGGGAAGGAAAACTATCTTCATCATCCGGATTATCACATGACAAGTAGATTAAGCACAATTTTACAGAACTACATGATGAATGAATGAATGTAGGCGTTCTTATAACAACAAAACAATAAAGCAAACTAGAAACAAGTTAGAAAGAGTACCAACTTGTACGCAGTCGTTATCAGGAAACTGTCGCTGCAAGTTTGAGCAGAGAGCAGAAGTGTTCTTTCCTAATCAGAGCTCAAATTCTTCATCCTTCAAGGCCATCTCAGCTGCCTCTTCTTCTTCTTCATCAATCACAAAGTACTCATTCTTCTCTAACGGCCTAAACATATAGAACATCACTGCATAAAACAGCAAACTTGCTGCTTCCTCCGCAGCATTGCTCACCCATTGATACTTATATGCTGCAATGGTCTTCAGTGCAAACACTACGATTCTAGTGAAGTACAAGTAGCCGATAACGAGGATGTAAAACTGCCTAAACAACTGCAATTTTGCTAGATTCCTTGCTGCTTTCCCGTCAGTCTTGGACGTTTCCCTCAACGAACGAATCGACCAGACAATGGGGAAGATTATGGCACAGCAGCAGATTATGTCAACCAACAAGAACACCTGATTCCAGGTGACCCAATCTCTAATGAATGGCCCTGTCTCGCCAATCACCACAGAAGCCACATTTGCCAATACTTGCAAAGGGATCACAATCATCAGCACCTTCTTCTCCTTCTCTTGCAAAAAGGGCTTCAAGAAGGACCACCCAGTACCAATCAACACTATGACAGTGAAGAGCAACACGACACGAAGAAACTGGAAGAAATAAAACAGCACATCCCACCCATGAGGGGTACCAGTGACCTTCACGTAGTGCTTGTCCTCCGCAGCACAGATCAAGTTAAGAGCTTTCATCAGAAGCAATCCAGCCATCAACAGATGGATCCGATGCACAGACCTCTTGTTGGTGAGGCAGAGGTAGATCCAGAAACCCATGAACACGAGGTAAGCAATGGAGCAGACGGTATACAGAGAAGGCAATTGCGTCTGCCCAGCGGAGAGGAAATCCTTGGACCCATCGCCATCGACGTTATAAACATCAGTGCGGACATGCATGGAGACCTTGGTCTCCGGGGCGCAGTTGGCGAAGAAGAGAGAGTACTCATTGGGATGGGGGATAGGGTAGGATTGGTTAAAGGAAGAGAGCGGGGGCGGTGAAAGGTCGCGAAAGCTGAATAGATTGAGGACGTACTTGGATCCGAGGACGCAGAAATTGGGGTTTTGCTGGATCTCGAGCAGGATCTGCAGCAGAGACTCTTCGGAGAGGAGGAAGAAACCCAAACCTGAAGGGTCCGGATTGGGAGCGTTGATGGAGGAAGAGACGGAGACGCTGGAGACTGAGATCGTGACGTGGCCGGTGTGTGTGAATCCGAACTTCTCGAAGAGAATCATCGGCCTGGGGTCGTTGGAAATCGTTAGGGTTTTGATCTCGGCGGAGACGATGGCGATGAGGGAGACGGCGGCCAAGGCGAGGAGAGACGCCGGAGGCTTCGTCATTTTCGCTACGGCCGGGGAGCGGTGGAAGAGATCTACCGGTGGCGAGGAAAGGATTGTGGAGTGGAATCAAAGTTTCGTAGTGAAACGATTTGCCTTGCGAGTTGCTACCCCCCATGGAAATGGAAATTGAGTGACATCGTGGGGGGTTGAACATTGAAGTGACGTCGCATCAGGTTGCATTTGCGATTTGTGCACATTTTTTGTGCCGAGACGGCAGTCAAGGTGGGCCAGTGATGGCCCAAATATGCGGGTCGCCCACACACGAAGCCCAGTCCGGATTTCAAAGCAAGGGCCCGATCCGAAGTTAGTTGGAGCCTTAAGCTCTTAACCTTGATCTCTACTAGGGATGGCAATGGGTCGGGTTGGGTCGGGTTTTGCCAAACCCAAACCCAAATCCATGGGTTTATCCGTGAAAAAAACCCGGGGTAAAACCCATTGGGTTTGAAAAACTCAAACCCAACCCAACCCAACCCGCTGGGTATCCGCGGGTTCATGGGTACCCACGGGTTTTGTCGTAAAAAATTCACAATAACAAATTCCTATCAAAATTAAAGTCAAATATCAATTTCCCAATACAAATTATCCACATATAAAACACCACTCTAGAAAATTCAAGCAAATCACAAATTAACTATACGAATTGTTCAACACCAATCTAGAAAACTCAAAAAAATTGAAGCAAATCACAAATTATCCATAAATAACATGATTAATTGAAAGCTTCTTCCTTTCAATTAAGTTTTTCACTATCCACTCGATAACATCAACTTCATACTAGATAACTAGAAAGAAAAAATTAGACATGTCTCCACAAACATAAATAAGATTAGTTGTTTAGAATATTAAATATGCCGAGAAAATTAATTAAATGGGTGTGGGCGGGTACCCACGGGTCGGGTTTACCTAAACCCAAACCCAACCCAACCCGGTGAATAGTGAACGGGTTTAAACCCAAACCCGGCCTAAAACCCGTCAACACGGATTTTACCCGCGTTGACCGGATTGGGTCGGGTGGGTACCCGTGGGTTCGGGTTTTGTTGCCATCCCTAATCTCTACGTGTCGTTTTGATGGATCAATTCAAAAACGAGACAATTAGGTCATTGTCTCATTTTATAAATGAGTCATTTAAAACTAGTCAATTCGAATAGTCTGCTCCTCCTTAGACAATTGTAAATTGTAATTGCCTCAAAATGAGTCAATTTAAAATTCCTCAGACCGAAATGCTTTATCTAAATTTTGTGTCGCCAAACTGATCAATTTGGCCAAATTGACTCAAAATGAGACAATCTGGCCAAATTGATCCATTAGAATTTCTCATCCAAACGACCCCTAAAATAAAGCCCTGCTTCAAAGAACGATGGCCTAGTTCTCGAAGTAGTAAAAATTATCTTCTTACATCTTAATGTATTAGGGATTAGTTGTTAAGCGTCGGGAAGCAGTGTGGTTTGGACCAGATCGGATCATACATAGGTCTATGGT